ATTTTCCTTCACTGAATTCTTGGCACTGTGCCCCGGCATCATGTCCTCACCACTGATTTCTCTCTCATTCTGACTTCCTCGTGTTTACAACTGGAGGGGGGAGTTTTCTTGAAAATTGATTTAGGGCAACGTACATCCGCCGCCACCGGTTGAACCTTTTTGCCTCGCCCCCACCCGTGCCCCAGTATTCCCTGCCAAAAGCCCAGCTGATCCCCCCCCTCAACCCCGCACAATCCTTAACGTTTCATTTACCCTTGAGACGTATCCTCAGACTCCATCCCCCCTTCCTTATCTCAACCATGTTTATTACTCCAATTTTTCGTCCACTCGCATGTGTCGGACATCACCGAAATAAATAAACCCCGCGTCTGTGTACAGCTCTCTCTCCTCTTCCCTAGGATTTTTTTCTACCTTCCCCTCGTTTTCTCATACATCGTCCCATCCTCACTTGCGATTTCAGGCACGCGCGCCTTCCCTGTATCATTCACAAAAACTTTTCTCTGTTCCTTGAAGCTGTTGAGATCCCCCGGGAGATTATCCTCCGGCAAGTGTACAACGGTTGAAAAGAAAGAAAAATCGAAAATACAGACGAGAAAAAATTTTGAAAATGAAATAAAGGGGAAAATGGAAATACTGTTGTGTGAGGAATGGAGAAAGAATACGGAGAAAAAATCCAGGAAAAGTTCCGGGACAACTCACGTACAGTATTAGGATAAATTGAAATTTTATGGACAGTTTAATAGGGGAGAGTGAAACCGGATAGCGGAATGCGGGGCACAATAGACTGTAAATGAAAAATTAGAAGTGAGGCGGACTGCACACAGAAAAATTGATCATTTGAATCAAATCAAATTGTTTATTTCACATTTTTTACTTGTTTTAAACGAAAGGATTTAAACATATAAAATAAACAATTTATTAATTTCAAATAACATTGTTAGTTAATTAATTAATTAATTTTTAGTTAATTCAATAGACAATCGTTTTTTTATTTATTCAAAAATTTATTAAAAAGTATAAACAATCAATTTTCCACCATAAAAATCATTTGTTCGGAATCGTAACAAATTTATTCATATTCAGAATTTTACCAGAAAGCGATTTGATGCCTAAAAAAATTGGGTTTCCGAAGTTTAAGCAAGTTATATTATTTATTTATAAACACCAAATGTTGACAGAAAATAATAATTCTATGCAAAATGTAATTTGAATGACACTGAATTTTTCTCACGCAATTTAATTGACCAATTTGATGATTACAAATGGTTAAATCTACATTGTAGTCTCTACCAAACTGTAAAAGATGCTTGGATGTCCTTAAATAAATCATTTCTCTGGGTTTAAATGTTGGGAATACATAAAATATAATTGCTTGATTAGAGAAGAATAAAGAAATGCGATAGAATGGTTGCCCTGGAAACACTATAAAACCGCCTTGACAGACGCATGAGCAGAACATATTGGAATGAAACATTATATTTCAAACATTATACACTGATAGAACGGATTAGTTATTGTTAACGAATGGATTTTGGTTGGAGGTTAGAGTCTGTTCGGTCTCATCAAATGTTCATTCGTTAATAGTTAACGAATCTCGTTTGGAATAAATGAATCATTCTATCAGTGTACTCAACAGGAATTTTTTTGGGCGCAGAAATATCCCCTGAGTCCGGCCGAGTCGTATTTTCTGCCGTAATTTGTACGTTTTTTCCATGACATTTCTAAAAAAATTCTCTCCATGAAGTAAAGGGTCTGGAGAATTTGTTGCGAAGGGCAGAACGAGCCCTGAGAGAAAAACAGAGGGAGAGAGGATAAAAAGTAATTTGCGAAACGTCAGACGCGTCATTCCTTTCGACAGGCCGTGGCTCCCGCAGTTTGCGGCCTTAATTGGCCTACAACCCCTGCCTACCTTCTGAGGCAAGCCTCTCTCGCTCCTCCTCCTCTCTCGTATTTTCCACCTCCACTCCCGGCTTTTATTGCGAGAAATGATCATCCCCTGGGTTCTATCCAGCGATGAAGTCCTTGCCTGCATTCTTACAGATTCATGGAGAATAGAGAGGGCTTCCGTAGTCGATAAATCGAAACGTTGTGGGTGCGGGGAGAAAAAAAAATCGAAATAAAATGCCCCTAAATAAAATTTTTCTCCCCGGCAGGTGCAAAGTACACATTTCCCTCCCGCGATGGCATGAAAAATGATGAAAAATGCGAGTCTAACGACGGGAGGCAGAATAAAGGACCTTACCCACGTGCTAACCATTTACCGGAATTACGTGGTAATTCCGCACGTCGGCACTACTCTTTCATTTTACCTCCATACGTTAGAAATAGCAATAATTTGGATACACTGTTGGTAAAAAATTGAAGTTTCATGGACAGTCGGTTAGTAATTTTTACGAGAGTGACATTGAATGTGATTTAAGGGAGAAGCAATCATAAAATTTCAAATTTCACGGAAAATTCAATGAAATTCCAAATTTTTGAACAGCATTGGGATGAGACACCTCAATCCCTGGTTCTTAACCTGTTTCAATTTTTAATGAACTCATGAATATTCAGTGACGAATTTTGATAAATTTTCAATTAATCGAATATTTACAGTTCTCAGTGAAATTCAGAATTTTCAATGAAAAAAAACGAGCCAATAGTTTGCAAAAATTAAGATCGTGAATAATTCAAATCCTGTGATTTGGAATCCCCAAATGTACAATGTCTAAAGGCAAAAATAAATATTATAAATAACCTTGCAGTTACTTTCAAAAGAGTGACATTAAATTCCATTCAGGGAAAAAAGACAATGAAATCTAAAGAATCTAAAGAAACTCCTGAGTTTTTAGGAGGAGTAAATTGAAATTGTTCCAACTCACTTGAGTCTTCAATTAAACATCAATATTCAGAGTCAAAATAACCTGAATGTTCAATGTCCACAGAATAATCGATCGAATCACAAGAACATAAATTAAATCCTTCATTTTCCAATAACATTCCCGGAAATTACAGTAAATTTAAAGAATTTAAAGAAATCCGTGAGTTTTCAGGAGAAGTAAACTGAAATTTTTCTCGCTCACTTGCGCCTCCAATTAAACATGAATATTCAGAGCCAAAATAACCGGAATGTTCAATGTCCCCAAAATAATCGATCGGATCACAAGAAAATAAATGAAATCCTTCATTTTCCAATAAAATTTCCGGACTTTCACCGGAAATACCACTGTCCAAAAATCCCCGGCACTCGGCCCAGAAAATTCATCCAAAAATCCCCAACATCATATACCATACTCCCCACAAACCAGTAGATACCACTTGGACTCCCCCCACACCCCTCCATACTGCCCCGCAACCCCATCCGTCACCACGATGTCCCATCGTTCACGATTAACTGGAGAATTGTCAGAATTTATTCACAGCGCTCTCAGATACTCCATTCCCACATTTTTCTCCTCCCCCTCCTCACATATTTTTTTCCCTTAATAACGAATGGAATTTTTCCCAGATATTAACGAGAGGAACCCTCTGCATATTTTTAATGAAATTTTACCTCGTAATTATGTTCACTCGGTGTTGGAGGAGTAAAAAAAAATCTGGAATCCGTTGTCTCTCGGGGAGCAAAAATGAGCGGAGCGCGGGGGGGGGGGGG